CTTCTCTTCCTTGTGGAGCTCTTGCTGTCTTCTAGCTAAAGCCTGTTCTACCATCACTCTGGAGTAACCATTCCGTTGAAGATCATTTTTGATGATGCCTAGTTCCTTTTCGAGACCTTCCTTTGTATTACAGATTTCGAAAGCACGGTCTAATAGAGTCTTGATGATTCCTCTCTTAGTCGATTGATGGTGGTTGGATTTCTGGTTCATATACTGCCCTATGTGAGTGGGTTTTCGATACACAGATGATTCCCATTTCGTGTCGGTCCTCTTCAGCAATACGTCTAAGAATGGCAATTCATTGTGAAAGTGATGGAAGGACTTACGTTGTTGATGTGCTTCAGTAAGGTGTCTAGTTCTGCATTTCCATGGATCAGATTTTTTCAGATATTTCAAATCAATTTATATCGTATTAGACAATGGAAGTCCAAATTAATGAAATGCAAGCCTGATGTAGTTCTCCTGGACCATCAGAATATTTATCCAGCATCCGGCGAGACGAAAATAGTCCGAAAAGAGCAGGAAAAACGGATGAAACATCGAAATTTTCTCTTCTAACTCCACAGACTCTATCTAGATCATCTGTCGAGATGGTTATTTCGATTATTGGAGTTCTTGGAGAAATGATTGCTTCTCTACTCTCGAATTTCAAGATCATGTCAGCTTGCCATACTAAGGTAGAAATCTTAGCCGAACAAACGCAAAAGGCTATCATTCTTTGCCCACTGCGTCTGCTTAGGCACATGAATCTCGGACCCAACGGTGTGGGAAGTGGTCAGTGGATGATTATTTTGGCGCGTCCTCTCGATGGTATGGGGGCTTCGAGAATAGGGCCTGATCGCCGTTTAGGGATTATGAAAATAATGATAATGAAACAAAAAGAGTGGGAAGCTTTCGAAGGAAGGAAAAAAATATATTTGCAATAAAAAATTCTCCACAGATATATATTCATTCAAAAAAAAACTGTTGAAACAACCATTTTCATATGNCTAAGTGGAAAACATCTTAGAACTGGATCTACAACTTTGTAAACAGTTTTTTATAGTTATTGTCTGTCTTTTATCCTTTGCAAGTTTGTTTAATGATGGATAAGTATGAAGCTGAAAACTTTTCACAAAGTTGGGTTCTAACATACTAACACGGCCAGTGTTGCCGGTCAAAACAGAATATCTTTTGCAAAATGGTAGACCAGCCAACACCGAATACTGCGCTTTTCTCGTGCGATTTCTTCTTTATCTGCAGTAAATTAATTTGCAATATTCCGCAATCTCATTGAATAACGGCTTCGTTGTGAAAAATTCGAACTTTTCGCACACGGCATTCTGAATAATACAGTGTTGGATATTGCTGACTTCATTTTTATTTCAATTGATTTTTTTCAAATAGTCATTTTGATAGTTGAAAAAACACCGAATGTATTTTCAAATGGTTTTCCAAAATGGATGAAGTGATTCCAGAGGAATATTCATTTGTATGATTGATTAATATTTTGTGTTGAATTAGTTGAAATATGATGGATTTTTAATGCGAAGTCGGGGTGGTGGTGCTATCCGTGCGAGGTCAGGCAGCTTTTAAACTTAACCAGCTGTCGCCCCCTGCAAACGACGAGTAGAAACTTGTACGAGATAAGGACTAACGAGGTATTACCTTTTAACGTGTGATTCCTAACTTGGGTTGAACGATAGAAAGTGAAAATCGATCGTCTGGAGTTTTTTTAGAATCAGAACCATCGTGACAAAATGAATTCAACCCCCATCATAAATCGATGCGACACACGTGATAAAGAAAGATTGCAATTGCGTCGGATTTGTTTCACGTATTGGATGATGATGTAGGTTAAGGTGATAGAAATGAGTGCATTCATGAAATTGGCATAAATTAGTATAAAATTCCCAATACAAAAAAATAGCTTCATTTCCACTTCCATCATTTCTACGGTTTCGACAAGAACCCCGTGTGGCCTTATGCCCTTGGGGATCTGTATCTGTATCTGTAGAGTAGGTCCTTTCCAGGAAGGTGAACAGGTCACTGGGAGACATCCCCTTTATATCGGCAGGTGTAGGCCAAGACTTGCCGAACACATACTCTCACATTGACGATAACTCCGGACACTCGCATAGGACATGCCTGACAGTTTCATCTTCCTGTTCACACATCCTGCATAGAGGTGTGTCCACTAGCCCCATATTATGGAGGTGTTAAAAGTGGCCAGTCAGAAATCCTACTGTTAGATTTTTCCTGGTCATCGCCAGATATTTCTTCGGCACTAGCTTACCAGGGTCGCCCAGGGTGATCCTGGCAAGATTGCATCCTTTGATTTCATCCCATCTCTTTAGGGATTGAGTATAGGTGTAAGGTTTGGCTAGTTCCGCCGTAAGTGCTACTGGGTCTTAAAATTCTTAGTCCATCCGCTTCCTTGGCTAAAGAGTCGGCAATGCGATTATTTTTACTCCTGTCATGCCTTTCAATCCACCTCAGGATCGGCCAGGCTTTGGCCAAATCTTGGTGGCACTTTACAACTAGCCCTGAGGTTACACGTTATCTGTTCAAGGCTAATAGGGCTTGTCTGCTATCAGTTCAGATTGTTATGTTATTGCCAAAAAATCCTTTTCTGGTTATTTCTTTTGTGGCGATTGAGATACCAGCCAGTTCTGTTTGGACCTCGCTGGTATTTTTTCCCATTCTCCACTCAATCTTCAGGCTTAGTGATCAGGAGTACACTCCACATCCTGAGCTTTCTTTGGTTTTTGAATCTTCTGTATATATGCGTATTGCATTTATAGCATCTGACTATGTGTTCTGTTTTATTTGTATTTTGTAGGGTTTATTAAACACAAACCTGGGTTCAATTGCATCACTGGTTGCCTGCTGCAGAGGTTGCGCACTGAGCGCTTCTTGCCATAAGCTCAGCTTCAATTGACTCATTAACGCAACCTCTCTAACGTACAGGTCCAGAGGGGTCAAACCAGTAATTAATTCCATTGCCGCGGTTGGTGTTGTTCTCATGGCTTTTGTGATGTTCAAACAAGCTAGTCACTGTATTTGATATGATTTTTAGATGGCCGTTGCTTGTAGAACTTTCGGTCCCCATGCAATGGCTCCATACGTTAACATAGGTCTTATTATTGCAGTGTAGATCCAGGTGACCACACGGGGTGCAAGACCCCATGCACGTCCCACTGTCCTCCGACATTGCTCATAAGGCACATATGCTCTTTTTGCTACTCTGTAGGTGAGAGTTCCATATTAGCTTCCTTTCGAGAATAGTATCAAGGTATTTCACCTCTTCAGAGAAGTTTAGTTCGCTCTTGAAGATTTAGGGAGGTTTTAAGCCCGATAAACTTCATTTCCTGGTGAGAAGGACCATCTCAGTCTTTTTGGGATTTATCAACAGTGAGTGTTCCCTACACCACGTTTGTAATAATTCCAGCCCATCCTGCGCTCTATAGCACAGTGTGCTCACAAATTTGCTGGTCTGCATGATAACAATGCCATCCGCATATGCAATTATGTGGAATCCATTATTGTTGAGGTGAATAATCAGGGTATTCAGAACTATGTTCCAGAGAAGGGGTGATGAGACCCCTTCTTGTGGACATCCCCTCATGACCAGTCCTCTCACTGTGATGTCTTCTACATTGATACTCATTGCTCTACCAGAGAAAATCTTGAGTACCCATTATCCTACTACCAGAAGTACACATTCTTGGAGTGTAGTTGCTGGGTAATGGTTCGAAAGGTTTTTTTATCAAACGCTCCCTCGATATCTATGAATATACTCAGGGTGGATTCTTTGTTGTCCAATGATCTTTCGATTTTGCCAACCACATGGTGAAGGGCCGAATCAGTAGACCTTCCCTGAGTATAAGAATGCTGATTTGTATGAAGTGGGTATGCCCTTGGGGAGAAGTATCGAATTTATGGAAACTGATCATTTCCCAGGCATCAGGTTGCTACAAGCAAATTATACCAATGACGATACTCGTAGAGTATTCATCTTTGCATACTCTATCCAGACCTCCTTCAGTATCGTTGATCAGACTATTGAAGTGGTGGAATCATTGCCTCTCTCCTTTCAAATCTCGAAGTCTTACCGGTTTGTCGTAATAAGGTAGAAATCCTGAAAGGTCAAATGCAGAATGCTGCCAACTTTGGCTTATTGTGTCCACCCAGGGCACATAATTCTTGAACCCAATGTACCTCATGATGTGGGAAGTGGTCACTGCTTGACGATGCTGGTGCGACTTTCGAATGTATTCGCAGCTATGTAACGTAGCAGAATCAACCTGACTATGAATTTAAACAAGTGTGGCTCACAGAAGTAAGAGAAGATGTAGAATAGAAGGGAGTTCCATTTCAAGATTGGAAAATCTAAGAAGTCCGATGCGAATATCTACCAAGTTGGGGTTCAAGTTTGATTTTCTTATTATTTAAAACAAAATGGTACTACCTATTGGCAAATTTCGTTCAAGTAATGAATTTGAAAGATATAAAGTTTGAGAATGAACAATTGATATACACTTCGAGCGATGTATATCTGCATTCAACATTTGTATTTACTCACTCTGAAAATGTTGAATTTGGAGATGAAAGTTCTACACAATAGAATGATATCTATAAATCTGAAATTGATGTTATTCAGCATATTTTAATTGAATCATTCACATTGATTGGATTTATATAATTTGTTTGTTCCACATTGTATATATTCTTATAGCACATTATTGAATTATCAACAGATTATAAAACTATAGATACCAGTATTTGACTTACTTCATTTCGTAATAAAAGTATCGTTTTCTCAGCATATTAGTTGTGACTGTAATTTATCAATCTTATCTTCATTCATGGATAATCTTTGTTTATACACTTTACTCAACGAGTATATAGTTGTACTCATGATAAATATATCTAAAGTTTACCCCACTGTACGATGGTGTGTATGTACCTTATACGTTCTCGAAAGCTCTTCATAACCAAGACTAAGTTAAGAGGCCTACCTTCAAATATTTCCTTTTGAATATTTCCTAGAATTCGGAACAAAGAATTGGCGCGTGAAATGACACAAATTATTTTTCGCACAAGACGAACCAAACGCACAAAAAAGAGAAACTCAGAACTAATCCGAAGCAATTAATTAATAAATTGTTGATAATATTGAATCAGTTGAAACCTTGAAACAAGTTGAGTATCTCAATAGAAATATTGATATCGAGTGTCAGCCGATAATGAATCTGAAACAATCAAAGATAACATCCAAATATTCCGTTTACACTACTTGTACCGAGCTTAGTATCAAGTCATTCATGTAGAAGTGCAACTCTGAAATGACTGGAGTTCTTCGCTTGGACGAGGGCTATATTAGTTAGGTTAAGTTAAGTCAAAAGAGACTGGGTATATTCAACCCTCCACCGCAATACGCAAGGGTTTATTGTGGCTTACACCTATTCAAACTCAACTAAATAAACCCGGCTTCCTAACAAAGCCGATTAGTTTGTATGGTGAGTGGTCTTTCAGGTAAGATGGTAAGAGTATGGCTCTGACGAACTCTTGAAATCTGATTCGGTCCCAGCGGGGCAGGCACAAAGTATGTGCTCTGCAATTTCATCATTTTTCAAACAAAGGCGACAAACACTGTCTTCCGACAGTCCCAATCTCTGCATATGATGATTCAAATGGCATGGACCTGTGAGAAGGCCTATTAGACATCGTAGTTCATCTCTACTGCAGTCCAACAACTGTTTGGTATGAAGCTTCGAAGGGTGAGTAAACGCTTTGAAGTGACCCAATCCTGGATTTGCCAGCAGTCTTCTAATCTTCTTGCCATCCAGGTGTTCAATGATTGTTGGGCAAAACCTGAAGCGATGCCAATTGCAGGATCTGGACCGATGGATCTACTTGAAGCACCCTCCTCTGCAAGGGTGTTAGCAGTTTAATTGCCTTCCAGGCCAGTGTGGCCAGGAATCCAGACCAGAGACAATTTGTTAAGTCTTCCTATTGAGGATAGTCGTTTTTGACAATTTTGTACCAATTTAGAGTTGCTCGGTAGGAGCCAAGAGCTTCCAACGCCGCTTGACTGCCCGAAAAAAATTTCATCTACTTGTGTGTGTGGTTAGATTTCATCAATCTCTCCGTACACAATTCAATAGCATATATTTTCGCTTGAAATACATTCGGATAGGTCACAAGGCAGGTTTATATCGCTGTCCTGGGTCTGCAACTCAAAACACCTGCACCAGAGCCTGATGAAGTTTTTGATCCATCTGTTAACCAATAATTATCTGCTCTTAATATTTCCTTCTATCGGAGGATCCAGGGCTAATTGACGAACTGCAATATACCCGGAGTAAAAACGAACAGCCCAGCATATGGAAGTATGAAAAAATACACTTTCTCAAAAAATATTTATTTATTCATCAATTTCTATTTTGTGTCCTCAGCGTTTTTTACAATTCTTGAAGCAGTTCTAAAATGCACTTTCTGGTATGTCCTCAATGGTCGTGTAACCTTACCAATCGATGACAAGGGTACAAGTCACCTGTCAACTTAACCCGAGACAGGTGGGTATTTGTGACTAGTTTCAGTGAAGACGGGGGGGTTCTTGGATAATATTTCAAGATTTAGATTACTTAATAAAAATTGGAGCCAGGTAAATTGCCTCACAAACACCCTAAATGTGTCAATACCACTAACTTACCAAATGATATGAAACAACAGGTACCGGTTTAAAAATTTATTCCAAACTTGAAACCACTTGTATCTATATGAGGTATAAGTCTAAGCAATCCAGCAAGTAGATTATACACTTTAGACCAGACAAACAAATCATATATTTATATATAGTTCAAAGGATATCGTAGATCAATAATTATTTTTCGGGATTGTAAAAGATTATTCTACAAATAGACAAGACATATATACATATAAGCACCAAACAGTAGGTACCACGGTTAGAAACGATCGGTAAATTAATGTGGATTCAGCAAAAAAGAAAGGCATGTATCACAACCTATTCAAAATAACACACCAACCCGAATTTGATGCAGAAATTCAAATGTCGACAACAAGTTATAATGCGTCGCGAGAGCTCAAGCGTATGCGCAATTCAAAAATCATAATAAAAACATTTAATTTCCGCCTTACAATAAAAAAAAGAAAGCACTAAAATAAATCAACAGAAAGAAGCAATAACTTGCGTGAATTCCCACGGTGATTGTAGATGAGCAAAATGTTCTTGAATTGTAAGTGGACTAATGATNTTAATATTTGAAGTGATTTCTTTCATTCGAATCAATTACTGCGGGAGAGAATGTTCAGTATTTATATTAAGTATTATTTGTTTACCTTGTATATATCTGTATATCGCAATATTTACTCTGATGTTCAGTTGTTGTAACTAAAACAAGGATAATAAAAAAATTTTTGTCCGACATTGAATTTCAATATTTCGTTGTTTGAGACCAGATTAAACCTCGACATTTCAGACATAACATAAATAAATAACATTTGGAATAAATGAACAAACTTCTACAGGGTGTTCCTTAAATACATGCTAATATTTAAGGAGGTAATTCTTAGACCCATTTTAATAAAAAAACTTTTCATGGACGTATGTCCTAAACGCCTTAACTTTTGAGATACAGGGTGGCAAAGTTTTCAAAAATAATCAGTTTTTTAATAATAACTGAGATAATAAAAAATATTTTTGTGTGGCCCTTCAACGCTTTAGTACAAATCAGTTGTAGCGGAACATGCTCTCAACAGAGAAGGGACTCGCATTCTCTCATTCGTTGATACAGAAATACTCGATAAAACTCAACATTATATCGTACTGTTTCAACTGAAGTCAAGTTAAAAACATATCTTATTATTTATATGGGAGTCGACTTAAAATTGTGTGAAATTGAAATTCACCTACGAATGTTGAGACAGGGGAGAGTAATTAACTAAGTGCTACGGATATTGATCACTGTTCATGGATATGGGGTTTCAAGTTAATCTGATATGAGACCTCTGAACTGAAGATAAGAGGTCCTCGGGTTGAGTGGTGTGTGTTTATAATTAGGTTCACGAATTACGTTAACATCTATACCGTATGTTTCATCAATTTGCTTTTTGACGGTTTCAACACCAGACGACTGTTTACGATACCGTCAATGGATAGATGATACTTGAGAGGCTGAATTGAGAAGACATTATAAATCGCTAAAATATATAAATTGAGGTATACTTTGATGAGCATTTTGGAATAAAATTTTCATTCATTAGTTTGTAACGGTTGAACTGGGTGGTATGCTGGTTTAGGCAAGAAAACAAACTTCTCAGCAAATTGCTGATCGATAAATAACAGAGTGATTGCAGATGACTCACCTACGTTGTAGGGGATTCAGTTAATCCGTGTTATCAAAACAGAAAAGAAACTTCACCCGGTTCATTCTTCTTAATAGAATAACAACAACTAATAATGAAAACACAAGTGGCAAAACTTATAGGTTATTTCAAAAGTTTCGTCCGTTTTAATGTCATGTGTTTTTGTAGCCTCATATCTCAATAAATATTCACTCAATTTATCAATATTTATCAATAATTAAATCCATTAACAACAAAAAAGAACGACAAACAACACGAAACAAAAAATTGCAGGGTAACCTCGAGGAACTAACGCTAAGTCTCTTCTCGATCAGCGAGGAGACTGCTGAGGGGGTTTAGTTCTCGGCGGAAACTCCTGAATAAGAAATATCTCTGATACTGATAATGGTCGGGGTCATAAATATAGTCAAGAAGGGTCAAACACTTGGGCCCGAATTCCTTGTCTTAATCCATAATCCATATTCTGTGTTAGGAATCACACGTTGAAAGGTAAGACCTCGTCAATCCTTAGCTAGCACTGAGGGTTCTGAGGGTTTTCGTTCGTAGGAGTGCGAGAGCTGTTCAACGGAAAAACAGATTTTTTTGAACAGATAAGAGTGTTAATAATAAATACCTACTCAAAACATCCTAAGTAGTGTTGTTCTAAATATTCATCTGTTTTTCGGCAATAAACTTTCGTTTCGAAAGAAGAGAGCATTTCAATGATATGAGATAAGAAAATACGAAAATGATAAATGAAAATTAAAATAAAAGAATTAACATAAAAAGCCAAGCAGATGGTTATTGTGGACGACTGCTTGATAATAGAGTTATGAAAAGTTAATTTCCTAAAGAAAATTCATAATACAAAATGAATATCAATAAAGGAATAGAATGTTTCAAAAGTAAGTAGTTGTAGGAAAAACTCTACCTCGAGGAACTAACGCTGAGTCTTTTCTTGATCAGCGAGGAGACTCTAGAGCGGGTTTAGTTCTCGGCGGAAACCCCTGAATAAGAAATATTTCGGCCGAAATCCCAGAACAGAATGAATGCTTTAGCTAAAAAATGTATTCGAAGTAACTCTCGAAAAGTCATCACTGATAATGGTCGGGGTCATAAATATAGTTGAGAAGGGTCAACCACTCAATCCCAAATTCTTGTCTCAATCCATAAGAGTGTTAACAATGAGTACCACTCGAAACATCCCTAGTGGTGGCGTTCTAAATATTCATCTGTTTTTAGACAATGAACTTTCGTTTCGAAAGAAGAGAGCATTTTAATGATATGCGTTGAGAAAATACGAAAATAATAATGGAAATTTAAATAAAAGAATTGACATAAAGAGCCAAGCACTGCCGGAACAGATTGAAAAAGTAACCAGACATTTGGCAATGATAGTGTTAATGAACGCACTGTTCGAAGTTGGCTTGCGAAACTCCGTTCCGGAGATTTTAGCATCGAAGTGAGCTTCCAAGTGGTCAACTTACAGTAATCCAGATCCAGGATTTGAGGATTCTCGTGGAGACTGATTCATCACAAAACGGTGTGTGGGATGGTGGAAGAACTGGGCGTTAGCTCCAATGTTGTTTTTGATTAGTTAAAACATATTGGAAAAATCAAAAAGCTCGAAAACTGGGTGCCCCACGATCAGAGCGAAAAGTTTTCAGGTTTCGAGGTTTGCCCTTCTTTGCTTTTGTGTAACCAATACGACTCTTTTTTGAAACGGATCGTCACATGTAATGAAAAGTGGGTCCTCTACGACAACAAGAGTCGGTCAGGACAGTGGTTGGTCACCGATGAGCCACCCGAACACTTAC